GTATCTCCTTCAGGTGCCCAGCCTTTGAGTTGCCTGGGACCTCTCGGCGTCTGGAAAAACTGGTGCAAACTTGCTCTTCGCCAAGCGTGCACCGAAGGGTGGGCTCTCCCCAGGCGGGTCTCTCTGCGGCCCCAGCGACCTTCCCGGGCCTGGGAAACCCGGCGTATTTTCCAGCACTCAGCCTCGGCGCTCCTGCTTTATTTCAGTTCAATCCCAAGGGCACGGAACCAAGGATGATAAACAATGCTGTTTATTAGAGATACAAACGGGCGCAGCAAAGAACCACGTAGAGTAATCAAGTACAGAGGCATTTTAACAAATGATCTGATATTCAGCACGGCCTCTGAAAATAACTTGTACAAAGGAGGACATGTCTCTAAAAATACAGAATTTCACAAAATGCAGGTTTTGTCAGAATATGATGGTTGGAGCTGGTTTTGTTTGGTTTTGCCTCCGAAGTCTGGCAGAGTTGTTGCTACCTGTCCATGCCTCGATGCAAACCGCCCTTCCCGTCCAACACTTTATATTGCAAGGCCTCGTTAAAAAAAATAAATAAAAGAAAGAAAGACAAGAAAATAAAAAGAAAGAAAAAGAAAATATATATAGACGTGAAGGATCTTCCAGGTGTGGTGTACTCTGATACCGTTATCCCAGATCTCTCAAGAAGTGAAAACACTACTTACCCTTTAGGGAGTGACAATACGAACTTTAGGAGGAGATGTAATTATAACAGGCACGGCCTGATAATGCAGAGTTATGAAAAATCACACCCCCTTTTTAAAAATGTAAACCCAGATACCATCTGGGTGCTGACCATGAAAGTGAGGGTTAGGGATTCCTGTTGGGTGCTGGTATAATCGATTTATGCTCTACCCGATGATCTTAGGAAAGGGCTTCCCATCTGCTCTAAACGCCCGCCTTACAATGTCAAAAATCTTCCTGCCTGCAAATATTGGCAAGAAGCTGCTATGACAGTCGGTGCTGCTTTAAATAGGAAGGATACCGCGGGGGGAAAAAGAAAGTCGCGACCTTCCTACCCACTATTCTACCTGCCTCCAGTCCTCAAAAGGCAAAGGAGTTCTAGCAAAGGAGACTCTGAGGAAGATCTGCTTTCTGAGCAGTGTGGGAAAGAATCAGCTGTGTTCAGGAACAAATCTCTGATTTTCAGGAGCTAGAGTGTACCCAAACTGGTCTCTCCAAATCAGCAGCTGCTAAGGGGGTTAGAATCTGAAGTTTGCACCACCTGTGTGCGCTGCGCTCACTGTACGTTGTTGTTGTTCAGATAAAGTGAATTGTTGCAAGAAACTTTAGAAGTGCTTTAGCTCAATTCTTGTGCACAGTAGGTTCTTTTTAGTTTTTTTTTTTTTTCAAAACCCATTTATCCAAAAGACTCATGGATCCTGGATCTGCTTAGGGAGGGCCTGATGTCAGATCTGTAACTCATGCAGAATTCTCATCCTAGGGAACTGGACTGGGGCTAGCTTTAGTTTGGTCAGGGATCCCCATCCCTTTTTGCTCACCAAGGTCATCTCTCTCAGCTGGAAATGATGGCAGTGCCAATTGCACCCAAGGAACAACCAAAACTTTCTTTTCCCACCCCCTGCCCTAAGCTGACAATCTTACACTGTGTTCACACATCATTCTTTCCCTAGCTTTCTGTACTTAGACCCAGCTCAGCTGTCTCTGGCCCTTTTGGCCCATCCTAGATGACAACTTCTCTTGGGAAAGTTTCTGCCTGATGAGCTCAAGTTTGAGAGACCTCCTTTTGAAAATACTGAATTGTAGAAGGCACCTCAGGGGTTTTTGGTGGTAAGCATGTTGTCTGCTTTTCAAATCAATTGGCCTGAGTCTTGTCATTTTATAGATGAAGAAACTAAGGGTTTGAGAAAAGATTTAAATTATTCAAGGGCATGCAGGGAGCTGAGAGCAGGATCTGCAACAGCCCTGCTGTGTCTCTTGACTTGAAGTCCACTTGCCCAATTTTTAGGAAGGTACAATCACTAACAATAGACTACTGTTTAGTGAGCATCAACTGTGTGCCAGAGCACGTGCCATGCCAGACATGTTACATAAGTCATCCTCACAGCAATTCTGGGGGAGCCCCATTAGCCCCAACACAAATTTTAAAATAAACTTAAAAAAGGAATACATGCACAAGTTGAAATACTTCAAAAAATATGGAAGAGCATAAAATGAAAGTAAAAGTCTCCCACTCCACTCCCTCTCCCAGGATGACATTTATACTTTTCATTTCGGTGGCTGTCTGTGTATCTCATAGATGTTATCATCATTTTATGAGCAAGTAGAGGAAAGTTCACAATTAAGCTAAGAAGCCATGGCTACCTGTCTCCAGGCTCAGCACTGTCAATTACTCTACATTAGTTAAGGTGAATTCGGAGAAAAGAAATGAGTTGCACCATAGATAAAAAAAAAGGCAGGTCAGCTCAGAATTGACATTACCTCTCCTTCTCCTTTCCTGCCCAATTGAGGATCCCACTAAAAATACATTTTTACCAGAAACTGAAAGCAGAGACTCTCTTTGTGCATGGAATCATTTGTGAGGATGTGTTGCTTCCAGGTCTTGGTGTCATTGGACATGTAGCCCTTCGCCATGCCCTGTTACCAGGATCCCAGTATTGCCTCTACCCTGTACTAGGTCTGGGACTCGGACATGCCTCTTAAGCTTTGGATTTCCCTGCCTCTTCTCAGCGTTGTTGGGGGATTGCAATGAAAGACAGGGAGAGGACTGTGTAAATGTGAAGTCTCTATGTAAATATAGCAGCTGCTTTCCAAAGGCCTCTACAGGACCCTGTGGCCCTTCAGTTCAGACAGTGGAGTTTAAGGTTCTTTGCAAAATGGTGTGGCTTTGACATTTGAGGGTTTGCATAATGTGTGCATTTGTGTCAATAGGGGAAGGGTTAGGAGTGTGTCTAAATGGAAGAGGGTGCTTATTTATCTGCAAAAGAAGAGAGCAGCGCGTGTTCAGAATCAGGAGAGGTAGGCAAGTGTGGAGTGGACTTCTTTCTGCTGGAGGGCATATAGAGCCAAGCTGGTAAGGGCACAAAGAAGCAGTTATCCTATGTGGGGTGCACAGTGGGGGAATAAGAGTAGCAAGGTGAGGCTGAAAGGATGCTTACGCCTGTCCCTTTGCTAGGTAGCCACGAGCAATTGCTGTTCTCAGACTTTTCAGGGGCAGGCAGAGGGAACTGAAGGGGTGACTACAAGATGGTATCAGCTTCCCCAAATGAGTAATTTAATTTATTATTCCTAGTGACTGAAAAAGGAAGAGATATTAGAGAACAGGTGGGGTATTTCTTCTGGAAAGCTCACCTTGTCTGTGATGGTTCTTTATTCTTGAAGAATTTCTGGAAACATCCTAAATTTATGGGACTTTCATGTGAGAATGAATGATAGGCCATGAGCCTCTTAGGCTTTGCAGGGGAGGAGTAGCTGGGGAGGGGACAATCTTGTAAGCTGCATACATCTGAGATTGTGGGAAAAGAGACTCTGACCACCACTGGGGAAGAAGGAGAAAATGGCTTTAAGATGATGCAGGGGTGGGGGGCTGAGTTCTAGGCTGGTTCCAAAGAGAAACTGTGAAAGCAGGGAAAGGTGGCTTTTCTGTAAGGCCCAGCCAGGCTTCAGAGCACTATTTCAATGCCTATCAGGACAAAGGATGCTGCGCCCCCTGGTGTCAAACTTGAGGCCTGTGCCAGCTAGCTACATGGAAATCCAGGGACCAGCTGGAGGAGTGGAGGGTCAGATGCCTTTTCTTCTATTTGCTAAGGGAGTTGAGATTGAAATAGTCCTTGCTTTCTCAACTCTGGAGTCTAAATAGAGACTCTGGTGTGGATAGAGGAGGGTTTTATGCTTTTTTTTTTTTCATGCAATTTAGGCCAACAGGACAATGCCTATTTAGAAATAAACCTTTGGAGTGGGAAGTACACTATTCTGAAAGAAAAGACCTGCATTTTGGGCAAAGTGCTGGTCTGGGGAACATCATTTAAAATTTTTAGGACATTTCTTTCTTTGTCCAAAATCCAAAGAATTTAGAGTAAAATGTTGTTAAGTTATTTTCTAAGTTCTAATATTGGTCTGTATTCCTCAGTCATTATGCTGCATCCTTCTTTTCTCAGAGCCTCGCAAATATGGCTTTTTAAAAATATATATGCAGGTGCAAATGTTATATATTTTAGCATCTTGAGTTCCTGATTCTGAGCAAAGGTTTTCAAAAGTGCAAAATATACCTCTTTTCAACACCCAAATCCCCCACTCTCCCAACCTTTTGTGGAGCCTCCTGCAAGAAAGCTGCGGAGTGAGCAGGACTCCAGTCTCTGCTGTTTCTTTTAAAAATAAAGTACTGAAGTGTTGTGCTGGAAATTCTGCTACTAAGTGTCGCATGTGGTAGGTGTGAATATATGCTTCAATAGTTCCAGGCACAAGACCAAAATCTTCCCCAGAATTAGCAGAGTTTTCAGCTATAATCTGGCTATCATTTTTCTACAAATAGGTACAAAGACCAATTTGGGACTATGTTCTCTGTAAGGGGTACCTCATCAAGTTTCCACTGAAATTTAGGACCAGCCCTAGTACAGTCAGGTGATTTGAGGAAGGATCAGTTGTGGAGAAGAATTATGTTGTAGTTGAGAGTTTTCTTCTCCTGAAACATTTAAGTCACATATCTGAAGTGAGGAGTCTGTTACATCTCAAAGCAATTTTTTTCTTCTGCATTACACTTGAACTGTTATCTCTGTGTAATGGGTACAGTTGTTGTTGTTGTTAAGGAAACTGATTATCGATTTTGCAGAAGTGGATGGAATGTGCAGCTTTTGTCCTATAATTGTGTCACCATTCCACATGCTGCAGGCATGGGCTTTTTTTTTTTTTTTTTTTTTGTACCAGGGATTGAACCCTGGTACAAAAACCCAGGGGCACTTAACCACTGAGCCACATCCCTAGCCCTTTTTATAATTTCATTTTGAGACAAGGCCTCACTAAATTGCTTAGAGCCTTGCTAAGTTGCTGAGGATGGCTTCGAACTTGGGATCCTCCTGTTTTAGCCTCCCAAGCTGCTGGAATTACAGGCATGTGTCGCCACACCCAGCTGGTGGAGTCCTTATAAGAAGACATTAGGACATAGACATTTATAGAGGGAAGACCATGTGAGGATATAGGGAGAAGGCAACATCTATAAGCCAAGAAATCCAACTCTGCCAACACCTCGATCTCAGACTTGAGCCTTCAGAACTGTGAGAAAGTAAATCCTCTTTCTTTAAACCACCAGGCTGTGGTATTTTGTTTTGGCAGCCCCAGAAAACCAATATATGATACTACTAGGCAACAATCAATTATATGCTGCCATTTGAGGATGCAGACTCAAAGGCACCAGATTTTCCAGAGTAAAATCTTTTGTTTTCGAGTATTTGCAGCAGGGTTAGCTTCATGTGACCTGTGCAGTCACATAAGGTCTTGTACCCAGAAGTGGCCAACTGTCATTTTAAAGCTCTCTTGTCATCATCTTACAATTTTTAAATTTTCATTAAGGCACCTACTCACCTGGCCCTCAAACTATATAAGTAGTTACAAACTATGTAACTAGTCCTAGTTGACAAAAAATTATAAATTTAAAATATTCTGCATGCTAGGATTGTGGTGGAGTCAGGCATGGTGGCACATGCCTATAATCCCAGCTAATTGGGATGCTGAGGCAGGAGAATCTCAAGTTTGAATGAGACCAGCCCAAACAACTTAGTGCGAGCCTGTCTCAAAATAAAATTTAAAAGTGGCTGGGGATGTAGTTCAACAGTAGAGTCTTTGCTTAGCATATGCAAAGCCCCAAATTTAGTTTCTAGTACTGGAGAACAAAAAAAGAAGTTAATAAATGATTACGAGAGCCCAAACAAAACATGACCCTGGGACACTGCACTGAACTATCTGTTGCTAGCTGGAATAAGATCTCCCATTCCACAATAATCACAAGGAGGGAATTTATGAAGCCCAGAGGTTTCTGGAGTGGAAGAAAGTCACAGATATTCCCCAGATGTGATTTCCTGGGATTCTACATATGCTAATGTGGTCCTGGCCAAGATTTTTTTCTCAGGGTTGAGCTCTGAGAACTTCACAATATGAAGATCTCAAGGAAAGGCCAAACACAAGGAACAAAGTATTTGGGGTCGAAAGCTATGTCCTGCCTGTATATGAGTACTGCTGGAAGCTTTTGCAGGTTCATCCACCCAACCCTGAGTTGAGTTTTGGGAAACCAGAGCTGAGGATGCCATCCCGTATGACCAGCAACACCCTGAGGGACCATATGGCCTTCTCTAAAAGCAAGACAGAATGGATGCATTTGCCTCCTGGTTCCTGCCTGGAGTTTGTAAACAGGACTTTTCTCCCTTGTGCTGAACCAATCCTGGGATTCTTAAGGCATTCTCAGTTGGGGTGAGTTTGTTGGGCTGAGCTGCAGAGTACAAACTGTCATGTCTGTTCAAGGGTCTAGGCCATCCTGATCACTTAATTATAAATACATGATACCCTTCCATTTCATGGTGCACAACATCCCAGTCAATTCCAATTCAGACAAGAGAGATTTTTTTCCCCTGGTGAAAGAAACGCCAGTCATCAGTAAATAGTCACTGGGATATATGATGGGGAAGTCCTATTTTTAAGAATATGCATTGATTTATAGAATCTCACAGAAAATATTATAGCGGAATGTTTGGTCAGGAGGTCTGCTTTTCTAGTTCTATTTCTGCCCAGCACTGACTAACTGGAGAGTGTAAATTTTAAAAGAAGTAATTTCTTATGCACGCCATGCAAACTCCCTTAGGGGAATGAGTGAAAGACTGTTTGAGACACTGTGCATTTCTTGGAAGAAAGTTGCTATATAAATTAATATAGAGCCCTCTTTTTCATTGCAGGCCTGCAAGACACACCAAAAGACTCCTCCAAGTCGTGTAAGGGAGAAAACGAAACACTCCACTGGCCTCTATCAGGGGAAGTTAATTTTTCCCCTTTTCTGCACATTTTCCAAACTCTATAACTCTAATTTGCAGTACAGAAAATAAGCTTTTATATTTATTATTTTTTATGCTTTGGATATAGAGTATCCCCAAAGGAACAATGTGTTGTGCTAAGAGTTGTGAGCCTATTGTGGGAAAGGTTGAGATTAAATTGCTGCAAGAAGAGGTTCATTTACACCTGCTTGGTGATCTAGGAGCCCCAGGTCAGAGCAGCACCTACTTTCTTCCTCCCCACCAGGAAAGAGCAGAGTTGGGGGTGGTGACCCCAAAATTAAGAGGTTTGGAATTCTATATGTAGCTTTTCTAAGTCCTAAATGACAATTCCCTTAATCATTTGGAATATAAGAAACTTGGCTAAAGGTTTTAGCTTAAAGCCATTAATTTAAAAGAAATGAAAACATAGTTCTACATGGAAACTTGTACATGGATGTTCACAGCAAAATTTTCATAATAGCCAAGAAAGGAAAAGAATTCAAATGTCTGTTAACTAATGAATGGAAAAGCATAATGTGGTACATCCATATAATGGAATATGTAACTATTCAGCAATAAAAAGAAATGAAATATTGATACATTCAACAACATGGAGGAACTGTAAAACATTGTGCTAAGTAAAAGAATGAACACATGTTGTATGATTCTGTATCAAAATTGCATGATCCCATAATGAAATTGTACAACATGTATTGTGATTAGTATACATATCTGTAGAAACAGAAAGCAGATTAGTGGTTGGCTAGGTCTTGGGAAGAAATAGGGGGCATTGGAGAGTGACAGCAAAGTGGTGCAGAGTTTCTTTGTGGGATGATAGAAATGTTCTAAAATTAATTGAGATGGCAGTTGTATCATCTGGTGAATGCATTGAAAACCATTGAGTCTTGCTGTAAGAGTGAGTCGCATGATGTGTGAATTATATCTCAATAAAGACGTGAAAAGATTTTTTTAAAAAATGATACTTCAAAAAAATATCCACTGGTTTATCTCTCTTCCTGAAGCTGATCACTTGAGAAAATGTGTTCAAAATAAAAACAGATTTTTATGGGATAACTGAAATCAGAATGTGAAAAAGTGATTTTTTTCTTAGGTGGGAAGACTAATTTGCATGTCTATGTGTACTCAAAATACCTGTACCTGTAATTCTTTTGAACTTTGCTGAAAATTTTTTCCTTAGCCTGCAATCATTAAAATATGTTTAAGCAATGATACTGAGATGAATTTGTTGTTTTTTCCCCCCTAATATTTTTCCCCTTCTGTAGGTAGTAGTAGCACACCGATTTTCTCTTAAGGAAATACCAACCCATTTTCGGTTCATGTGGCTTGGATATTGCCTACTTTAAGCCCTAGGCTTTACCACTCACTCAGTCATTCTTTCATCAGTCAGTACATTCTTTCCAATGGTGTGTTGGCGATAGCTCACACTTGTGCATACAACCAATTAGTTAATGTTCAGTTTTTAAACATAATCAATATTACAATTTAAATCATATAAACTTATACTTAAATAAATTATATTAAAAATAAAGGAAATAATTCTCAAACTTTATCACTTTCTACTTATTTGACTACATTTTGCTATCTATGCTCTTGAGGTTACTTGCATCCATTGAATCTGTGCAGTGGGAATACTGTATAGCAATGAGCTACTGTGTATTTCTTCCCTTTTCTATGTTTGGTGTCTTCCCCTTGATAGCTTGAAACTGGCCATGGTGGCTCTACTTATCCTATAGAACAAGGTCAATGCTATCTTTCAAGGCCTCCCATTTTCTGAAAAGGAGATTGTTGAACATTTACCAACTGTAGTGGGTTGAATGGTGGCCCCCAAAAGGTATGTCCACATCCTAATCCCTGGAACTTGTGAATGTAACCTTATTTGGAAAAAAGGTCCTTGCTGCTGTAATTAAACAAGGATCTTGAGGTGAGGTCATCCTGAATTATTCCAGTGCACCCTAAATGTAATCATGTGTGCCCTTATAGGACAGAGGCAGAGGGTGATTTGATACAGACCACACAGAGAAGATGAGGAAGCAGTGTGACCACAGAGGCAGAGATCCATAATATGGGCACAAACCAGGGAATTCCTGGAGCCCACAGAAGCTAGAAAAGACAAAGAACAGAATCTCCCCTATGGCCTCTGGAAGTGGAATGGACCTGCTAACACCTTGTTTTTGGACCCATACTGTTCAGAAATGTGAAGGAAGTTTCTTCCGTTTTCAGCCACCTGGTTTTTGGTCATTTGTTACAGCAACCACAGAAAAGGAATTCAGAAGCACGGTGCTAATGTGTGGTTCAGGGAGGGGCATGTGACTCAAGCCAGCACCATGGGAAGTCAGTTTCCACTGTAAAATAAGCTATCCTTCTCCCAGGGATTGCTGAGCAGTGCCACCTTTGCCGTTGCATTTGCTCAAGAATGAAAATAACACAGAAAGTGGAGAGTTTGGGATCTAGTGAGAGACATCCCTGACAATGTTAGTTAAAACATTGATCTATCTACCACTGAACTTTCTTTTTATTACATTAATAAACCAAGTTCCTAGCCAATAAATATAGATATGTTAATTTTCTGAAAACTTCATAAATACATACAATTGCTATCACTTAATCAGTAACTATTTGAATTAGGCACTACTAAAAAAGATGATCAGGAAAATATATACTATACCAAGCAGTGAACCATCTGCTGTCTACCTGAATTCAATCATGTTTATTTGTTTTATGAACGCTTATCGAGCCCAATTCTACCTAAAGAATTCTATTCAAGCCAGAAATTCAACCATTTAAGAACTTACAATTGATTTTCAAGTTAGGAGTTGAATATAGCCTACTTTACTGAAGTCATTAGCAGTATTAACTTTTCAATATATAGTCATTTTCTGAGCAGTTTTAAATTCATTTAATTATTTTTCATAAACAGAATTTATTTAATGCGTCATTTAAATACTTAAAATTCTTTATGAGATAACATGTAAGTATATTCATGAATCATACAAAAAAATCTTTTGGCAAAGTGTTTCATTTTTTGAAAATATTCTTGTAGTGATTTGCATGACATTGTACTTTGGATGATTTTTTTTTTTTTTTTTTTTTTTGGTGGGAGGCGATGATGGAGACTGAACCCAAGGCCTCTTGACTGCTAGGCAAGTGGTCTACCACTGAACTATATCCCCCACTCAATTTTTAAAAGAATTTTTATTTGTTAATGTGGATAAGCATATTTTTGAAAAAAAGCATGTCACAGAAATTTCCAGGAATAGACACATTGTATTGAACTATTTTAAACATAAAAATAAAACGTTTTACCTTCAGTATTTATATCTTTAACCATTTATCTAGGTTCAAGAGGTTTCAAATTAATTTTGTCCTCCATAATTCTATTCCTTTCCTCAACATTCAAATACCTTTGTTTTTTGATGAACACCGTTTTGGATGATTTCCCAGTCAACACTCTAATCTAATTAAACTCAGATAAGTTCAACTCAGATAACATTTACCTTCAGTTTCTTGATAGTTGATTAACTGGGAGCCCATCTTTCAGAATAAAAAAAGAAAGAAAAAGAAAAAGACAAAAGGCTCTAGAGGTGAGGACTGCTTATTGTTAAGAGGAACTGCTTGTTCCACTTAGGAATATTGATGCCACTTGCTTTTATAAACTATTACCCATTTGTCTTGATTTAAAATGGAAATAGACTTTCAAATGCAAATATTCTAATATTATATTGTTTTTTTAGCATGTTTGTATTTGCAGATAGCATTACTTACCAAAAAGAGAATTGTTTTGAATATTCTCAATTACAAGAAAGCAAACCACACACACACAGAGTAGGCACATAAATGATTTCATTAATTCAAGTCTACTGTCTGTGTAACGTAAAATAGTCCTCCTTTCTGCTACACAACAGCAGCCACCAAAATCTTTTTGGATATTGGGATCATTCAATAAGAAGTTAAAGGGAAAAATGAGAAAACAAAAACTTAAGTTTTATGAGTCCCCATTTTCAAGCCAGATACTATGGAGCACACCTGTATTCCCAGCTATTGAAGAGAATCGAAAGTTCAAGGTCAGCCTCAACAATTTATTGAGATCCTGTCTCAAAATAAAAATAAAAAAGGACTGGAGATGTAACTGGGTTCAATCCCCAATATTAAATAAATAAAAAAATTTTAAAAAAAGATTCCCCACTTTTGTGCCTAAAATAAAAATTGAGAACATAACAATTTATCAAGGCAAAAGTAAACAGACTCAAAATAAGTATTTACAGGAAGAACAAGCATGCTACCTTCCATTAGTAAGAACAGCTTTTAAATAGAACTCATTCTAGACAATGCTGGCTAAGGAGAGCCCCCAATAAGTTTGCTTTTTTCCCTAAAGTTACCAAAGACTCACCACCAAAGTTGAAATATAAGAAACTGGAAAAAATCAGTGATTTATTTTTTTTCCTTGATGGTAACTTTGTGCCAGAGATACAGGGTTTCTTTACACTGAGTTGTTTTCTTCATGTGGAAACCACTGATAGAAATCTAGGTGAATGGATACGATTAAATACTTGTGTGGCTCCAACTCTAAAATGCCCTTCTTTTTTTTGTTTTAAGTTAAGCACCTCAACGTTTGCCCAGGGACCAGAGAAGGGGAATAGCTTTAGAGTTAGGCCCTAGACACATTTCAAAACTGCCTGGACAAAGCTTTGGAATGACTACAATAGTGAACCATCCTGCCTTGGACCAGAATTGAGATTGATGACCTAATAGATCTTTCCCAACATTGACTGCCATAGTTTTATGAGCATCAAGAACTGGGCGTCTGCCATTGTCAACAAATAGAGCTTCTCCAGAGCATTTCCATCCACAGAAATTCAAGTATCCCCCTAGAGTACCAAGCACAGTCTCCCTGGGCTCAGGATGCGGCCTCCGGCTTCCACCACATGTGGGACGGAAACTGCTTCGGCAGGATAATTCTAAAAGAAAAGGAAGTGTACCCATTACTGTGCTATGTTATCTTGGTTTACGAACTCTGAGCCAGGGCAGTGAGGTTTCCCAGAGAAGTCTAGAATGAAGCTAATGAGGTTAGATGAAGGGTTCCTCCTTCCCAGAGTCCCTGTCCAAAGCCTGATACCTCATTTTGTATTTGTATTTTTTGTGAATTGCTCTTAAGAGTCCCCTTAATTGTATAAACTATTTTTTCCCCCAAAAATAGGAAACTGCTAAAGGAATTGCATCAAATTTTAGCTTGATAAAAGCATAAAAATTAAACACAAGCTCCTCTTTGTCTATGTACAAGCCCCCCCTCCCTGGCAAGTTACCAGAGGACTAGGACCTCAGAGTTTGACTCTCTTGTCACCTGCTGTCCTTTCATAACTACCACAGTGGTTCGAAAACTGGCTGCACTTTCAGTTTCTTTACCTTAGCTCTTCCTTGAAAGACGACTTCATTGTGGGCTAATTTCTACAACAGCTCACAGACTCTGAGGATTCAAAGAATTTCCATGCACGGCCCTCTTTTTGGTTATGTGGTGTCACCATGCCAAGGCCAGCTAAGTTTTGTTTTATAGTAAAGTCGGTGGACTTAGACTAGGCTTTCACACTTTCTTATGATGGTTTGCAAAGGACCAAACCATAGAAACATTTTTTTTCTTACTTTTTTACAAAAGTAATCACACATCCATGTGCACAGAGGTATGCATATGCACACATAAATAGCCTGAGATGGTATCACACACAGCATAGAAAGGGAACAGCTTCCATAGTCCCACATAACTCAGGAAAGTAATTTTTTCAAGGCATATACTAACATTTCATTTATTGTTTCTCTAAAAAGATGGAATTATGCTTCCAACTCAGGAGCATATTTTTCTACCTGGCAATATGCCTTTGACATCTTCCATGTCAGTCTGTAGAAAGTGATCTTTTTCATCTTTGTAGTGGCTCCATGGGACTGTACTGTATGGCTGAACCATACTTTCCTTAACCAACTGCCTGTTAATGAACATTTGGGTTCTTCCAGTTTGTAGCAAATATTCTTGCAAATATCATTTTTTTAAGAGAGGGGGCGGGGAGAGAGAATTTTAATATTTATTTTTCAGTTTTCGGAGGACACAACATCTTTGTTGGTATGTGGTGCTGAGGATCGAACCCGGGCCGCACGCATGCCAGGCGAGCGCGCTACCGCTTGAGCCACATCCCCAACCTGCAAATATCATTTTGTACTTACGCAT